GACTTTTTTTTTTTTTGTTGGTATTAAAGGACTTGTACATTATTAGTATTATTTTTTAATTGTAAATTCTTATGTTAATATTGATGAAAAAGCACACAATAGTAATCATGCATTTTTCTTATAAAGGCAAATATTATTTTTACCATATTAGATTTTCTATTTGTAATAGAAAAAATCAAACTATAAAAGGTACAATGTGGATTTTTTTAATTATACACTTTTCAAAATTTTGGGAATAAATCATGCAGTGATAATATTTAAATGTAACAATGTTGATGTCGATTGAAATGTCGAGGTTCCAATTCATATATATGTTGGTAGAAATATCGATAAAATGTCGACGTCAATTGATATAGAAATAAAAAATTTATAAGAAATATTTAAATTAACACATAAGCATCCCATCCTTTTGAAATAATTTTAAAATAATTAATATTAAAATTGTGTCTACATTAGTGATATTTTATTGATATTATTCATATTTTGTCGATATTTTTTTTTAATACTATGAAAATCTTAATTTACTTCTGTCGAGTTTATGAACACATAAAAATGTTGACATGTGGATTAAATTAATCCCTCCCAAAAAAAACATAAGCTTCAGTTTCAAATAAAAAAGTTCAAATTGAATATTATTATTCATGTGATATCTACAAGTAAAGGATCATTCTCAAACCCAAAATTCAAAATTTAGTATTATTGGTCATGTGATCTCCCTCTCTGACATGGATCAAGGGTCTTTTTCCTTCATTTTTAATTTAATTACAAATAATAATTTTAAAAATTAAAAATTAACATTTTTTCCTCAGTATCTTGAAAAAGAATATATATTTCAGGGATCAAATTATTTTATATATTTGATGATGGGAAATAAGTGTATTTAAATGTGCAAAACAACTAGATTATGTTGAAAAGTTGTCAATTGTTTAATTTTGATTAGTGACCCACAAAAGCAAATTTGTCAACCCATAATTACATTAACAAAGAACAAAGTACATGTTCATTGGTCACCATCCAACAAGAACACACTTTCATTTCCTTACGAAACAATAATTACCCCCAAACAACATTATTTTTACTTTATTTTTCTACCAATTATTTTTGTTTGAATTTATACCTCTTATCAAATATTGATTTAAACTTGTTAGGAGAATGACATGTGCCACGTGGCCCTCTCGGCGGGAATCATGTGATTGGAGCTTGCTTAAGTCGAGGACAAGGAGGGTTTGACCAACTCAACCCAACCTTGCAAAGCTAGAGTCTTAGCTCGGTCCGCACTTGAGAATGTGGGGAGTTGCTAACCACAACCAAGAAAATTTGTTGACTAACAAGTATGGAGCGCTAAGTGGCAGGGAACTATTTCCGGAAATTCTCTTTTTAAAGGATGGAGTTCTGTTTGCCACAAAGGTATGAAATTTATATGATGGATCAACTCGAGACCAAGTACTAGTACAAGATTCTATGTACAGCTAAGTATCCACCTAAAATCTAAAGTGTCATTTGTCCACAATTCTACATCAACACAAAATTAATGTTTTATTTCAATCTTAAAAAATAAGGAAAAAAGAGTTTTATACTTAAAATCCTCCATTAAAAATTTTAGGCTAAGCTAAAAGTACAATCTCCTCCAACTTTTTGTTGAAGTATGTAGCAAAAGCAAATCATGGTATTCTTTTTTTCTAGATGAAAAAAAATGATTTAAAAAAAATACAAATCTAATGGAGGAACAGAAGTGTTCCAATTATTCGAATGATATTTAACATCTTCTATTAATTTCTTTAAGCTTATTTTAATTTTAGATTCGAGGAAAAAATGAAATCTATTTTTGTAATTTGAAGCATAAAAGTAACTATTCTAGAAGTTGAAATTATTGTGAATAAAAAACTTTTTCCTTCTGGCATATCCTAGTTAAGTTGTTCAAAATTTGTAATTTTGATTCAATAAAAATTTGATAAATTAATTAACGATTAAGTATTAATTACTCTAAGAAAGTTAAATTAGACACATTTTAATTTTATTGCTTGAACCAAAAAGAAAAATAATAGAGTAAATCACACACACATATCATCAATCAAAAGGGATACCACAAGTTTATTTCATTCAATAAATATATATATTTATACGTATCAGAATCTCAAAAAGATTATCAAAATTAATTTCGTTCATTTAAAAAGAAAAAAAAAAGTATAATGTAGATGTCCACAAATTTAGGAGGACTAAGTGGTCTCATAATAAAAAGAAAGTGTAAAAAATTAATGTGATGGAAAGACAATTCCATCCTTAATGGTCAACTTTTAATGGGAAACGACATTATATTTGATGCATTTGTCAATTTTGAAGACTTGAAAACTACCCTTCATTTCATTCATCCTTTGATTCCAAAGAAAATTTGGTGCAAAATCAAATCCTTCAACAGGTATTTACCCCATCAAAATAGGAAAGTTTAGATTTCAAGATAGGATTTTGATTTCCAATCTCAACATTTAAATGATAATATATTATAACCAAATCTTTAAGAAATAGTATTTTGCTAATATTATTATTATCTAGAAAAATAAACTCAATTTAGTATTTGGATAGTTACATTTTTTCATTAGTAGTCTCTAGAAAGAATTTCTACAAGGTAAATTCAAATTTACTAGTTCAAATACTTCAAAAATGAATTTCTAAAAAGAATTTATTTACCTGACTTTCAAGGACTACTCAAAATATGATGGGTAGGATAATTCACCACGTCACTCTCAATAACCATACCAAAATTCTTTACTTTTCTATCGAATAATAAGTAGTCATAAAGTGAAAAAGTAATTTGAAATGTAATTATCAAATGTTGCCTTAAATTTGAAGTTTAGATGTTATTATTAATGATGATTTGCTAAAAAAATTGAAGAAGAGTTAATTACAATCAAAACAATAAATAGGAACTATAAGTGCATGCGTTCAATGATGACAACGTACAAAGGCCTTTCCCCATTATTAATTGAATATATATACCATTGAAAAGAAAATTGAGTTATTAGCCATATCTTTATTTTCTAAAATATATATATATTATTTATCTTTTGAAAAGTAATTCCAAATGGAACATTTTTTTTTTATAGAAAATCATTAATCACTCAACTTKGTAAAGTTTCATATTTAAAGATTTGATCTCCTACTCCCACATCCGAACAACTCAAAATTAATTAATTAATAAATATAAAATCTCCCGTACCCTTACTTTTTTTTAGTACCCCATGCCCCTACTTGTACTGTGAACATGTTAATGGATGTCAACAAAATATTGGTGTGGATTTGTTTTTTAATATATCAAGTGTGGAGATAAGAGATTGAACCTTTAATCTCCGAGAAAGAAGCAAGATGCCTTAATAGTTAGACAGACTAAACTTATGTTAACAAATATAGTCGTTACAAATTCAAACCCTCTTATCTTCACATCTATGAGTCGAAATTTTTATGTACATTGAGACTAATATCGATTGACTACTCATATCATTTTCTAATTAAGCCATTTTTAGTGCCTCTTTGACAACCTCATGCATAACTAGTTACAAATTTGAAAATTTGAAAGATGCAATGAGAAAACGACTAATAAATCTTTACCACAAGAAATGCAAATCAAATTAGAAGAAACAACTCATTGAAATATTCGATGTTTTTCTTTGTCATGGCATTGGCAAAGCCTTAATAAATAATAATTATGACGATTCTTGCCATTAATTTTCAAATTAAAGAAGTGGCTTATGCTTCAACATTTTCTCTCATCTTACTCTTCCTTTTTAGTTGCAAATGCAGGTAATAATTACTTTAATTTGTTTGATAACAATTTTCTATTTCTAAACATTATCTTATAACATGCTATAAAGTTTTTTTTTTCCAACATGTAAATAATATTGACCTTAATGAATTGAACTATACTCAAGATGACTACTTTTAAGGATTGAAGTTTACGATTGTACAATATAATTAACGAAATATATATAAGTTATCACTCTTAATTTCTTTTCATGATATAGGAACTCGATATTGTGTGTTTCAAAGGAATGGGGGACTCATGTTTTATAAGTCATTTGAATCTTGTTATAGAGACCAAGAAATCAAGAATAACCTATGTTACAATAAAAATAACGACCAAGAAATCAAGAATAATCTATGATACAATAAAAATAACTTGCATATACTGATTGATATACATGATGTAGGGATATACACCAGATATATTACAGAATTCTTATGAAAACAAAACAAAACTGTTCCATTTTGGGCAATTACACAAAATTTGCCCTCAAAACTAACTGCTTTTTCCATATTCTAAACCAGTTTTAGACAAATATCAAAAGATAAGAGTTGAGTAAAACATCACCTGAATAAACAGTGAATGGCCACATCTTCCAAACCCAGCAGTCTTCGGTTGAAGCATTAAATGATTGAACTCACAACTCAACAGAGCATTATAGGTACTGCCGAAGGCTTTCACCACTCATAGACTCCATTTCCTTGAGAATATCTTGTGCAAGAGATTTAACAGACGGCTCCACATCTTCAAGCAACTCGCCTAGGAAGGGGATGGTCTCAGCTAGAAGTACTAAATATTCCTCCTCCAAATTATCCACTAGGTACTTCACGATTCTTAGACCCAAAATTCGACTACGAACCTTGTCGCTCCTGGTTTTCATCAATACCTGCAATAAGAGTTCAAAAGAGATTATCCAAACAGCCAAGAAGTCGTGATTCCACTCGTGGTCAATTGAATCCAAGAAGACAAAAATCTATTCATATCCAATAAAGGCGAATTTGAATGGACTAAAACGGTTAAGCTTGTATCATGTTTTATGAAGTTCTCAGCAACAATTTGGTTGAAAAGTTATTCCAAACTTACTGTATGACACAAGTAAAAAAAAAAATTACCTCATGATTTAAGGGTTTCCATAACAGGTCACTCCCGGCAGCCACGGCCATTTGACCAATGCAGACCACCAGAACATCATCAACCTCCTTTACAGACGGAGCATTCGTGTTCTCGTCAAGCATTTCTGGTGGCTCAGATGCCAACTGTGCGACTATGGGTTTGAGCAGAACCTGTAAAGAACACATCCTAAGATCATTAGGGAGGTAAATAAACTAATAACAACCAGAGACCAAGGATACAAGCTAGAGACAGCAACATAAGAAAGGTCAACAGTCGGATAATGAAGATCACATATGTCCGTCAAAAGTGAAAGGGACAAAATCTATTAACCTGGAAATTTGAGTCATCAAGGAATTTCAAGCTCCCAGTATCATAGAGAAAGCACTTATGCAATGACGATAAGACCAATGCTCTTAGATGCCAGATTTTAAGTGATACCACTCCATTTTCCTCTTTATTATCGCCACTCTTGTGCACCTTAGCCTTCTTCCTTTTTTGTACTGGACCGGTATGTTTTGCATTTTCAGCATTTGTAAGGTGACGGACGCATCCATCTAGCAAGTACTTGAAATATGGAACAAAAAGTGACCTAAATTGATCGAAACCGCCCCAGCATTAGTATCAATTACCAAGATATTTTGCATATAACATGAAGTCCTCCTCAGAACCAAAACCATAAAACAACATAAAATTTAAAGTTTCGTAAGGAGTAAGCACATACCGATGTTTCTCAGCAAGCTTATTTACTAGGCCATAGAAAGATATGGCCCTGTCAACACTTGTGCGCGCAGCACCTGCACCATCTTCAAAATCTGAATCTGCCCACTCAACGCTTCTAATGAATAATGGTTTAAACATGCTTTCAGTAAGTTTAAGTGTCAGCAAACTCAATGCACTGATAACACTGTCTTCTGCAGCATCCATGTTTGTGATAGAAACAGGGTGCTGGTGGCGTAAATCAAGTGCAAGTAAGCATAGGTCAAATATCTGTGTGTGGTAAGCAGCAACAGATGACCTATCCATCTTTCCAACAATGTTTGCCAGCAAGTCGAAGGTGATTATAAGGCATGAATCTCCAGATTCAACAGCACGAGAGAAAAATTTCAACAAAGGTGGCAAGACAAGACGAACCTAGAAACAAACTCGGTTATTTTCTGATAAAGGAAACAAAAACAATCATTTAAGGAATACCCATTAACCTGACAAGCTACAATGCTTACAGGAATTTTATCTGTCAGAAGTTTCCGTATAAAGTCTGCTTTCAACTTCAGCTTTGAATCTGATCCCCGTACTAAGGTAGGATGAAGCACCACAAGTTCTAAAATATCTCCAAGATAAGGATTAAGAAATCCACCAAGGTTCTCTACAACGGCCTCCAAAGCGACAGCAACAGAAAGCATAACAGATTCCCTTAAATCTAATGATTGAATTGATATTTCAGAACTGCATCTTCTATTCTCAACCACACAACTACGAGACACATTTATCACCTTTCCCATTATACTGGGCAGCTCACTCAATGACCTTGGCCCCAGTACATTGATCAGTGTGCCGCATGTTCGAAGGCAGCTAGAAGAGAGAGCTAAGTTGCTCGAAGTAACATATTTTGCAATTGACGCTAGCCAAACACTTGTAACTGAATGGTAAGAAGGAAATGCAGTGGCTAGAATTTCCATAGCTGAAACTGCGGCTACTTTAAGAGAACTATCAGAATCATCAGTAGAATCATCAATTAAGTGAACAATTCTCAAAGATATACTGTCGAATAATTTGAGAAAATTCTCGTCCATGTTGAGCCAGGGACTTCCAGAAGTCCTCTCTTTCCTTGCCTTTTTCTTTGACTTCATCGTGCTTTGTTCTTTGACTGTTTCGCATAGAAGCTTGAGAGCCTGCATGAGGTTATGAGATAATATGTAAATTTTTCTTATAGATATTGTTGATATGAAATTATACAAAACGATCCGACCCTATCAAATGAAGTTGCAAAAAACTTCTCCAGTCAGATGTAAGAAAATTCAAGCTATTAGTTATTAAAATGAGATAAATACATAAAATGCAAATTATGAGCAACGTTGTAAAGAAATGTTAAAAGGCAAGCAAATAAACTTGAATACCAGATCAAACAAAAGCTTAAGTCATGAAATGCACTTGATACAAATATACTTATAACCCGATATTGTTACTATTATTTTTTTTTTATAAAAGATATTATTCTTCTTAATATTAATATTATTATTATATTGCATTGTACACCCTTCTACTGGAGTACACCCTCAATGGCCATTCTTTTACAAAAGAAAAGGAAATTCTATGGAAGCATTTTATTACAGCCTTCTTTTGGATAACTCGGAGAGAAAGAAACAATCGAACTTTCAACGACAAAGACCTCCCCTTCGAAAGGGTTTTTGATTCATTAGTCTTCACAGTTATTACTTGGAGTAAAAATCTCCTCTTTTTCGTCATTATTCCTACACTTCCCTTTTTTACAATTGGAAATGCTTTATGTAACCCTCTTTGAGTCTTTGTTATCTCTTTTGTAATTTCATATTATCAATGAAATTGTTTCTTTCACAAAAAAAAATTATTATATTGGATTGTGTTCCATTTCCGGTATTATTTGTGTCATATAAAACGCTCCAATGTAATTGACACAAATAACATACTGGATTATCAACAATGCCTACCAAGTTTAAAATAAATGAACGAATTATTTATAAAAATATTTTTACTAAAAATAAAAGGGAACAATAAATTGGACATGTACCTTTTTCCCAACACTTCTATTATTATGGCCAAGCAAATTCATGATGCTTCTTAAGAAAGCTGAAGGACTCATAACCCTAGTGATACTTCTCAAAATAGCATGCATATACTCCTTTATTTCCTTCCTGATAGCCACAGGTATACCAATTTCCTGGCTCCTTGTATCAACAAGCTGGGCTAGATAAACAACCTGCTCCAGTAGATCTCCAAGAATACTCTGCAAAAGAAAATTTACACGTGTCTTAGAAACACAGACAAATCATGCCTTCTAAAAAGTGAATATTCGAACCCCATAAAGTAGCCTTCAAAACTAAAACTTCAAAAAAACATAAACTAACTTCATGATGTTTTTCCCCCAAAGACGTTCTTCACATTAATTCCTTGAACTAATAACTTGATTTGATTCTAGTTCTGTCTGTAAATTTTGATGGAAGGTTAATGTGGAATGTGCGGAATAATTCACTGAAAGTAAAGAACATCAGTTTACATCCATGCTTTACAGAACATTAGTCAACGTTAGTCTGTGGATGAAAATGGTTAACTTGAAATGGGCTACTAGTTTGGACCGATTAGATTCATAAAGGCAGGAGACAATGCAAAATTGAAGACTTACAATTCAGCCTAAACTTTTCTTTTTTAGAGTACAATAACATGTGGAGTGGAGATCAAACAAACGACCTTTTGGTCGGAGATTTATGTCTTAACTAGTTGAGTTGTCCTCAGATTGGCAAATCAACCTAAAATTTATACAATGCCGAATTGGAAAAATTGCCACTTTCCTTCAAATAAAGAGAGAGCAACTTTCACAAAGGAAAGTTTTTACAGCAATTGGTCAACCACAATCTTCTTTCCGTTCTCACATTAGAAGGAGATTTAAAAACAACTCTATCATACCTCCAATACAATATAAAATTATATCAAAACCAAGTATTACGGGGTTAAAAGGAATTACCATCTGGCCTACTACGTAACCTGACAGCTTCATATTGTAATATACCATGACAGGATATTAGTCCCACAATTTTAACGAGTCTTAATTAATGGAGCCCGAGGATAAAAAACCAAAGTTTGGTGTAATCTTTGTTTGGATTAAACAATAAAATGGGTTGTAGAAATCAAGATTCCCGTATCCTATATTTGGTTTAGAAGTTTATGATTTATGGGTTTATGTAACATAAAATGGTGGGTTCCACAAGTTCAGGTTTACACTGCCCATGGGATTAAGAACCTTGTAGCCAAGGTTAAACTCGCTTACTCAAAACTGCCAACTAATCTTGCCTAAGTCAAATACCCCCTATATACACTTCGTACTGTTATAAGTTAGTTGGATTGTGAGTTAAAAGAGTTGTAACTGCCAACTAACAGTCGTGGCTATATACACTTTGTATAAGTTTGAATTCAGTAAAGGAGAGATCAAAACTGGAGAGAAGATAGAATTAAGTAAAGGATAAATTTTCTTGTGAATTGCATCATTGAGATGGCAGAGAAAAGTAAAGCCGAAATGCATGTTGAAAGTTTTTTCAGCATCCATTCGTTTAGCTGTTTGATATTTCTTGATTTCAGTTCTCATCTATTTCCTTGTATTTTGGTTCTCTATGTTTTGTTACTTTTCTTCATTTTTTTCGTTTCCTTTTCTTTGGAAACCTTTTTCTTCCTTTTTGTAAAAAAAAAAGAGAAGCTAAATGAATCTAATGTTATATGCAGAAGCCACGGCTGCTACAGGAGTACTAGTAGGCGTGAGAGTATGAGGAGAAAGACTGCTAACTCAAAGATTGTTTACCTGTATGTCATCCAAGCTTTCTTGTGATGCTAATCTGAAAGCAAATTCTGGGCCTTGCAATTTGTCTACAGAAAATTTTGAGGCCAGAAGCAATTTCTTTAGTGATTCCACACAAAAGTTATCCAGACCCACGTCCTTAAACATTGCAGCAAGAGCACGAAGCCAAGTCGTGCATGAATACTGCTCACAAATATGCAATGCAAACCCATACTCCCTTTCTCTATGTACAAAAGACAAAAAACCATCTGGACCATGAAAATCCTCCAAGGAAGGTAATTTCGTAACCAGTGACTGAAAAAGAAGCAAAAGCAACGAAGCCAAGCCATTCCATTCCCCCACGGTCCTGCAAATAGGCTGGTCAGATAGAGGAGTGTAAAATTGAAGAGCAAATTAATGAAAAAAGTTGATGATACAAGAGTACCTTAATAAGTATTGGAATATTTTTAACATTCTATCTTCAGCAATCTCAGGCAATATGCTGATAAAAGTCTGGAATTCAAATGGCCATCAGCACGCAGATAAAAGAAGCATTCCTCCAGAAGATACACATTCATCACAAAAATCAAGAATTACCTCAAGCAATTTATCCATGTTCTCAGCTTTTGACAGCCAACATGGAACAGCAGCAGCAATAAGATCCTCAAGTACACGTTCTGAATGGCTATCAACCTACAGATAGATAAGAAAATCTATAACACCTGACTAGGAGAGTTTACCTAGAAAGCTAATTTTTAGGTTCTTCTCTTCTATTATTGTTTCAATGTCTTAGACAGTTAGACCTTAACTTTTTTTCAAAAAAAAAAAAAAAAAAAAAGAATAGTATTTTAAAAAGAGAAAAACTTTCTCCTCCTGGAACTTTTGGAAAGAAAAAAAAAAGAGTAATTACGTGTTTTCTTTAGAAGTAGATTAAGTGCTATAAGTACTTCTGAAATTCTTCATACCATTTTCTATGTCATCTAATAATATAAAAAATTAAGAAGAGTTTTAATTTGTCACAATCACTTTTAAGATATTGAAAAAAAAATCCTAAAAAGCATTATAAATTATCTGGAGACAAAATTCAAAACTCAAAGTATTTTTTTTATAGCAAGGATGCTTGCATGAGATACTCGTAGTTCACCCCACCAATCTCCAAAGGCCAACTCCTAGAGACAAGTTTTAAATTATGTTTCCAATAAAGCCTTCATTTCGTATTGAGAGAAATCACAAAATATTTAAAGACACAGAGGATTAATGAGACCTTTTATGAATCTATATCATTTTTGGCTATAACTTGGTGTAAGAATGCCTCCCTTCAAAAAAGCTCTCTTTTATTCAATTGGAGGAGTTTGTTTTAAACTTCCTTTGGATGGACATGGGGATTTCATTCTTTTTCTTTACTTTTCTTTTCTTTTTTCTTTTTTTTTTGTAATTTCATACTATCAATAATATTGTTTCTTATCCCCCAAAAAATAAAGGTGATTTTGAACCTGGAGACTTGAACCAAGACCTTCAAGAATATCTTCAACCATCCCATACCGTCAAACCAAAGGCTTACTCATTAATACACAACTGACCATGAAAGTAGCATTCAGCTACTTTCAGATTATAGAGTAAAAGCATAATTGTTTTGGACAACAATTAAAGTTCTGCATATGACTCCCCCCCCAAACACACACCAAAATATCCATCAAGCATTACCACAATAGAACCCAACCACTGACCATAATGGCACTAGATGGTTACCTTAAAAATAATAAGTAAATATAACATAGTTTCAGGAACATGGGTTTAATCACCTGTCTGACAGCAGATTCACCAATGAGGGTAAGAATATCAAGCATATGATCCACAAGTTTTTCAGGGATAAATTTTGCCACACAAGAAATTAATGAATACACATGGTTACGGGTGACTCCATCCTTGGATAAATGAGTACGATCAACCAACAATTTGATATCAATATCATTTCTCCACTGAACCTGCAAAAAACCAAACATTAACACTTGGAAAGACACACAAAGTGAGTCAACGGAATTGCGGGTACGACAACTACTGACTGCCAATATTTAAATGCACCTCTTGCGGGGTAGTAGTCACGACCGATGAACAGATATCTTGAAGAATTATTAAGATTGTCTGCCTTATGTAGCCAATTGCATCAGACGTGCCCTGAGAAACACCAGATACTGCATGGTTCGACTGCTCATGAAGTGCGAGAGCAGCATTTACCCAATCCTCTGAAAATACTTTCCCAAGAAGCATAAATAATTGTCCTATAAGGGATTCCCTACAACACAATCATGAGTGTTAATATTATGAGGGGAAATTATTGCAATAAGCAGAGGTAGCCAATCCTTTTTACTTCAAGATGGCAGTAAGCAGAGGTACTTTCAGTTCAATAAAGCAAATATATGATCTTAAACAAAAAAATTAAAGCACCTGTTAGCCATGTCTTTCTTCAGTAGTAAAATATCAAGAACAGAACTTAACAAAGAGAATGAATTCTCCTTTTTAGATATCATATCATAGGGCGAGCTGGATATATGATACTCGATGGATTTCTTTTTCTTCTTCCTATCCACCGAATTGCCAACAAAACTTTCACATTTCATCATGTAACCAAGCATCCGCCCAACGGTGGAGGAAGTAATCTACAATATTGAAATTGATACACTATAAGATTTCCTACATTGTAGTACCAAGAAGTTGCATTTATACTATATTTTAAAAAATACTGTAAGTGAGATAAAAGGATAAACAAATGTATAAGCTCCTCATGCTGTTTGCATAGATGCACAGCTTGTAGAATGCGAATGTGTGAAGTATATGTTTCTAAATATGTCTGTTCTTACCTTGACTCCTTAACAGTACAAGGGAAACAACAAAAAGAGAACCAGTACCACAGACGAAAAGGGAGTAAGGAATAAGAATGATGTCAAATCCAGGAAGAATCAACACTATACCCATACAAAACTTATTAAAACAAATTGCAAAATAAAGGGAAATCTTTGAACTCTTACGATGAAAAATTAGTTCTTCCCCCTTTTTTGTTATGTGTGAAGAGACTAGAGAGTAAGCAATGAGAATGATACTAAAATGCAGGAAGAAACAGATAACTGTAAACACTAATTAACACAAATTTTTTATTCAAACAAATAATAAAATAGAAGGTATATTACTTTTAAAAATTAGATTTTTTTCTCTGTACATATTGAAGTCTTAAAATCTAAACATGAACCCTTTACATGAACGTTACAGTCTCAACCCTCAAGTAGTAGAAAGCAATGAGAATATCATATGATATGCATGTATACGAACGAGCTGACAGTCTAGGAGGGAAATGAAAATTTAAGGTAAGCACAACGATAAATTTCAGGATAGGTTAATGTCATCACCAAAAGACTGAACAAATTAAAAGATACAGTAACTAACATGTATGCGCATCAGGGCTTCTCGAGTGGCACTTTGTACATTATTGTCAGCGTCCCGAAATAACAAAACTAGTTTTGAAAACAGAAATTCCTGCATTGAAAAGAAAATAAAGAAAATTTTAGTTAGCAGCTGAAGAAGATTAGATTTATTGCTGCAACCAAATAAGTGAAAATTTCTTCCACAGACATTAACAAGCCAAAAAAGCAACTATAATCACAAATCTGCAATAGTAATACACAAATACTACAGTTTCAATCGGCTGAATCCTGCATTACTTTCATCAGTTGTGACTCTTTTAGTCCTTAATTACTTTGTTCCACAAATGCACCTAAATGCTACAAATATAAAAAAAAAATTTGATGCTCCTGTTGCCCATAAATAATAATGTAAAACGGAAGGGATCTTGACATATCATGATTATACAAACAAACAGTAGTAAGCTTTTTTTTTTAATATATAAAGTAAACATTAGGCTTCCAACTCATCAAACCACCAAACAAAAAACAAATGCAGGCAYGCAAACACGTTCTCTTGCAACAAACAAAAACTTCCCTTATAAATGATAAAATCATTCAGGAGGCTGGGACAATACCCCAGGCAATAATCAAGATTCAAGACCAACTATGTACAAAAGCTATAAGAAGGCTAAAACAATATTTTTCTATTCCAAAGTATTCACAAGGCCGTACTCTAAGAGGCTATTAATTTAATGAGGTAAAATGTTTTGTATTAAAACCATAAGCATTCCATGTTATAACAATTGCTCATACCTTGGTTTAAAAATAGAGTATGCGTCTGATGATCGTACCATCTAGGCATCTACCATGAAATGATATTTTTATTCTAATCATAAGATGTCTTCAGATGAAATGTTCAGTTCCTAAAATTTGTGTCCATTATTTTCACCAAAGGTACATGTTCGGTGCTACCTGTAGCCTTACCATACGTAAAAAATAATATAACCTCCAATCGTTCCAAAAAAACTGGCAAGCTTTCTATTTAAAGGATAGATTCTCATATGCAAATCATTTGTGAATATAAAATAGATCCATAACATATAAAAACATGTCAATTGGGGAACTACCAAGATACTCACTAAAAAAATTTTAAAACAATTAAATATCAACTCAAGTTGCAAGATGAAGATAACCTGAATTTCATTCCTCATCATGCCATATATTTGATCATTCAGCTTTTGCAAGATAGATAAAGAAGGACGTACAACTGCATCTGCACTAGGAGTGCTACCATTTAACTGGGAAGTAATACAATCAACCAAAAATTTTAATATTTGAATCTTGAACCCCAGGAAAAAGAAGAAGAAGAATAACAAAGATAAAGAACTCAAACTCAAGTTGTAAAATGTTTCTTACTTGCAATGCCTTCAACAAATAATCTTCAGAAACTTGCCAATTGAAAGAAGATGGTGTAGCACAACACTAAAATGGCCATGGAATTTCTCATTAATGTAAGTATAATATGAAAGAAGTAGACATTGCCAAGATAAGAATGTAGAGCATGAATCAACTCACTTCAAGCAGAAGGCATAAGATGGAAACTTCAATTGCCGACAAGTTATGGATGGATCTGTCAAGTGCAAGATGATATCTATTGCGTCTTTCCAAAAGAAGAGTTAATAGAGCCTCGACTTCCTTAACATGCAGAATAGCATTTCCCATCGATTTGAACAGAGAAAGAATCCTCAGCTGAACAATTATGGCCCAGTCAAAAAAGGAAAAAAAAACAAAACAAAAAAGTTGGAAAATAGAGGCATTCAAGTCTTGTTAAACGAATCTTCAGTTAAAATTCAAGACATTAAAATAATTGGAGGAAAACAAAAGGTAGAAAAGCAAACATCCTGTAACATAAGTTATTCTTTTAGCGATCACCCAAAAAAACCTATGAGCCTAAAAAACTGAGGAATGATCAAAAAGATCAAGTAGGCCAAACCTTCCCATAATCAGAAAGCTGTAAAGCATAGCCCAAAATGAAAGCAAGAATCATTTCTTTTGTAGCTTTATCAAACCTGAAAAAGTAATTCAATAAGTTTGCAAGTGATGATCAACAAATACAGATGAGTACAGTTCAAGAATGAAAATGTCACTAAACTTAAAAAGAACAATCAGCCAAAGAATGTGACGTACTCCAAACAAACAGCCAAAGAGCTATGAAAAGGCCCTCTAATGGTCTAGAGTTTTATATGGAAAGAATCACTAGAGAAAAGTTTGGTCATAGATTCTCGTCTAAGAACCAAAATCATTACCATGCCTTAATCCATTTACTATGTTGTTTCCTCTCGGATTGCACTTTCAAAATCCATTTGTAACTATTCTACTTCATCATCTATCTGAACCAACTAGAGCGTTTTGGGGCTTTGATAAGAAATAGAAGCATTTTTTTCACTCCATTGATTAGGGTTTCAAGAGAATGTTTTATCCTTCCCTTTAATATAATTCATTTTTTAACAAGACTTCACCTCTAAGGAAATTATCATCCAGCTGGCAATAATGTAAAACCTTGTCTTTTTTTCAAATAAGAAACCACTTTTCAGTGATATTTGAGAAGTTATGACGAAAGTTATAAAACTCTCTTTAGGAGCATACAAGTAGCTCCGGACTAACAAAACATACTAAAAGACAATTTAAATCAAAACCCTCCCGATATAATTTTAAAAAAGAAAACAATCTTGTCCTGTGCCATGATCCTCTTGGAGATGTGTGGAAACACCTTGAAAACCAGCAAAAGCTCCCCTCACTTGTGCAACCTAGATAACCTTGACACGTAACAAGCCTTTTGCATCCCAAATCAAGCCTATGGCCAAGATGGAATTGCACCAAACTATCCCCTTTCCAAAGAGGCTCCAATCAACCACTACAGAGAAGAAAGGGAAAGGAAGATTTCTACTCACCAATACAATGCAAATTGAAGGAAACCCTTCTCCAAACCTTTATTAATAAACATAGGAAATCTTTGTGTCTAGTACAAATATCCACTCTAAAATCCCCACCTCGAGTCTCTCTCCTAAAAATGAGTGTTGATCCCCACAAATCTCTCTTTAAAATGAGTGACGATCCCCAGAAGTCTCTCATTAAAATTAAGCATAAGTGTGTTCTGTTGACAATATGTTACCATTTTCCATATATTAAACAAATGAACTATCATGGGTGGCTCATTGGTCCAAAAGGGCTAGGGTAATTAAGAGGGAATGGGTTCCAATCCCATGATGACCACCTACCTTAGGAATTAATAATTCATATGTGTTTCCCGGCACCAAATGTGGTAGGTATATATATATATTAAACAAATGTCACTACAAAATAAAGAGACACACAATGATCACGCATTGTGTTGCTCAAAAAATCCCAAGCTCAAAAGAATAAAAACTTTATAATGGGAAAGTTTAAACAGACAATGCTGCTACAGCTGATGGCAAACTAGCTTCGGGGGAAAATGCATAAGCACCTCAATATCCCATGGGACAGAGAATTCAAATAGTTAATTGTACATCACTTATATCACAAGTATAGTTATGTCACTGGAAAAAAGTTAATATTATTGAAAGAAAAAGCTTGAGTTCAACTGAAACTAAGTAAAGGTGAGGTATTAGATTCACACCTCTGTTCAATGCTCTGAGGAACCAAAAGGCTGTTGGAGGATGAACCAAGCAAAGATGCTAGAAGGGACGGGAGAAAATTTATGTCAGATAATATGAGTCTTTTTTGCTCAACCATCAGACCCAAAAGTTTATCTAGAAAGTGATTCCATACAGCGTTGTTTCCTGCCATTCAATTAACCAAATTAAGTAAATTAAAGATAAAATTCAAATACAAGCTTGTAAATTAATCTAATATAAAAAATAACCATTTTTCTTGCAAGAAAAGTTGCCATGACCCAGTAATGAAAATAACCCTTGAATGCAGGTCATGGCCACAATCCTGGTATCCTGGAAAAGAAGATCACAGATGGCATCAATGAAACCAAAACATGTAAGGAATATGACACAACAGTCATTAAGAACTATACTACAACAGATAGTTATCAAAATTTTGAAGTGAGATGAGAAAATGAGAATAAATTGCAATATATGAAATGCTAATAGCATCTAAGATTTCATAGAGCATTGACGCTAATATGGCTGCTAGGATGGCCAAAAAAAATATATTATTATTGTATCTCTATGCCCAACTTCATTGGCGCATGAAATCTTTACAGGATCGAAGCCATATTTTCATTCATCTCTCTTTCACTCGTTCTATCAGGTCTAAACGCATGGAAGTTATCAAAATATCCCAATGTGCAGAATAAAGTAGTCTTATATTGTAATTTATTGACTGGGAGGGAACTATTTGTTTAATGTATAATTTGAAAGAAGTTTACTAGTTTAACCGTGGATCATGTTGTGGGGGCAGTAGCCTATAAGTACCAATGTTCTTCATTTAAAAAGCAATTAATAAACCAAATCAGATTTATTGTAGAGAAATACAAAAAATATGACAGAAGTCCTTGTAGGCCAAGCGTTATTTGAAAATTTTCATTTGAATGAAACCAAAGATGCATCTTTGACGGGAAAGGCTATAGAGGTGGAGGAAATGAAGGATATGCTATATTTCTATTCAAAATGGCCATACATTTTTTTGTAAGTTGAGATGATTCCAATTAATGCTGATAGAAGCCTTTTCTGTGACGTTTCCTTGGCTCAGACGTGCATACTTTGTTTGCTTTTAATATTGCCTCAGTTTTTTTTTTTTGGATAAGAAACGTAACTAAAATATTGATCAAAAGAAAATGAAAACTTTGCTTGCCTTTAATACTGCCACCTTGTTAATAAAAACTTTTGTTTTTTGTTAAAAACAAAAACATAGGACTAACAGAAAACAATGAATTAGTTACCTTGTCATCACTGGCCAGTGGGATGAGTAGTGAAGGGAATTCCGCAAAGAGTTGAACATGCAAATCTTCTTCTGAATGAGAACAAAGATAAGAAAAACAGTGGAGACTCTCAACTTGCACTGAAGCAGGAACACCTGGAAGTTTAAGCAATCAGATCACCATTAAATGCAGTAAGAAATGTGTAAAGATCAAACAAATTCAAGTAATGCGATCATCAAAACTCTTTGAAGCCAAGAAGAAAACAGTAATATATCAACATGCGGAGATATAGAAATTCCAATTTATTCGGTGAAGCATATGGGATGTAAATTTCAAAGACAATCATCAAATAAAGCCATAAAAGTTTAAATAAAATAAATAAGAGCACCTTCGTTAGTGATAAACCTAGAAAGTAAATGAACAGGAGATATCTTGAAGTTTTTGACAAGGTAATGGAGATGTTCCTTGAAGACATGCTTAAATCGAGAGGTCGCGAAGAACACAAACAAATCGCTGAACATGGAAATCCATTTTTCCTTCTTATCCTGCAGCAAGAAATTTAGTCTTGATATCAGCTCTAATGCTCATCTAAATCAAATTGATGTAAGCTACCAAACCACTACTGATCACACTAACCAGCATCATATCTGGATTCACTGAAGATAAATATGCATCTAACAATCTCCAAAATATACAAATTAGAGCAACTGCGTTCAAATCATTGTGATCCTCTTTAACTAACTGATCCAGGAATCTTTTGCAGTCCCAATCCAACATTTCAGTTTTAAACTGCGAACAACATAGCAGAACATAAAATAAACAAATCGAGCAACTTTTTGCATTCCAAAGTGGAAACGTCAGTTCTACATCAATTCATTGGAAAACTACAGTACCTTGTCAATAGAAACACCATAAGTAGACTCATATACATCCCATTCGATCTTCAAAACAGGGAAAATAACTTCAAAGAATCCCAAAAAGTGGGTGCTATCTACAATGGAAAAAAATTCAATCAAAATCAAAATAAACAAACATCATATTCATCCAAAATTATAAACAATATGAACTGAAAAAATGAAAACAGAAACACTAGAAAGGCACACATCAGTAAACCTGCAGCTGCGCTTAAAGAAAAGGAATGGAAATTTAGTACTTAAAGAAATAAATCTTACTGTCTTTTTGCATGACTGATGACTGCAGCACAACAAGGAGGAACAGTACTCTGGAAGAATCGTAAGCTTTGCAACACTCAATCAGCCAAGGTGCATACTCCCCCGGATGTAACAAGAACGACTTTGCCAAACTATTAACAACCTCCATATTTACTGAGTTCATGTTACCACGTTGCAACTCCTATGATTAAAAAAAGTTTAAACAAATTTATATAAGTAAACCAAAAATGTGATTTACTTAATTTTGGTACAACAAACTGATGATAAGGGCAAGGATGGAAAATGTTGGTATCAACAAAATAATGGAAAAATGATTAAAAGAGAAAAATCATTGAACCTAAAAATACAAAAATATAAGTTAAACTATCACAACAGTAACTCTCTATGCAAATATTTTTCAGGAAAAATTAAGGAAATTAATCTCTATTTTTTTAATTATTTTCTTTGGATAGGAAAAAAATTTAATTGATAACATGAAATATAAGAAATTGAGTTTTCAATAAGACAAATGAAAGAGTGTAGGCATCCACAAAAAAACCAGCTAAACAAAACAATGTCAACCCTACACAAAGGGACTTCAATTCACAAGAAAACCAATAATTATTTAATAATTACAAAACTCTTTTGTAACCAAGGCCCATAGAGAAGTGTGTATAAGCTCACATACAAAAGAAAATTGATCTCTTATTTTATTTAAGCCCAAAAATCTCATGAATCATTGTTTATTATCAAAAAAAAATTCAGGAAACCTAAACTAAATATATGCAACACCAAGTTACATCTGGAACACAAGAAGTCCCCAAAATGTGGTTCCTAGCACGCAGGAAAAAGATTTCAGCATCTAACTCAGAATTACGGGCCAGAATATTCTTGGCCGAATCTGTAAATAAAAACTAACTGCACTACTAACCATCTCTGTGTTGACAACAGCAAGATTCTGGAAAAAAGGCCATTTTATTTCCTTAGCCAATTCCAGAGCTTTTAAATTCAACCTCCGAGTCTGTGGTTAACACAATAGACACAAAAAGAGCATAAGACATCAAGTAGTTTATTTGACCAGTCACCTAAACTAGCCCGTCATATGCAGAAGTTCAAGGAAGCAAGTTCATGGCAGAAACAACTACAAACCTTGGGTAAAATTAAAAGTAAGGGAAATGTAAGTATCTGCAGATCACCAGCATGACCGTAGAAATATTCTTTCAAGCTCTTTAAGCATTCAAAAGCTATATCAGCAGCAAGATCGCCATTACCTGAAGAACCTGCAAGGCCAAAAAGCTTCTTCAACAGCTATGTCTTTAAAATAACGAGATAAGATTTATGAAAGAATATTATGATTACTATAACTTATTCATGCATCCATCAATTAGATTGCATTGAGATGTAAACATTTCTATTTTAAAAATCATAAAAAAGACTTCTAAGTATCTGATTTGAAAATTTTACAACTTCCTAAAACCTTCGTAATTTCATTTCAAGTTAATTACGTGTTTATTAAGAAATATAGCTTCATCTTCCCATTTAAAAAGTTTAGTATTGCTTTAATGCAAAAAATGTACACGGATTTTTAATTGAATTTTTAAAAAAGGGCAGATGGCTCTTCAGTTCTATTCCCTTCTATGCTATTACTACTTATGTTAACTAAGGAAAATAAATTTCCCATGCAAATGCATTATCAGCTTATCAAGGCGTGCATAACTAGGGGAGTACAAGAAATGACACTTTTTTCAGGGTACAAACAGCGTGCATAGAGAAGTCACAAATAGAAACCCATACAGAACTGATAAGCTAGAGCTTAAAGTCAAAAGTTGTCTGTAGTTATGCATCATCAGAACCAAGAGAAACATTGCATAGAATCTAAAAGGCTGTAATACCAGAGCACTTTGTTTTTTTATTTTTCTATTTTATTTCTCGGGAGCTTAGTCACTGTTGCCTTAGCACTTATGACAAGCTTCAGAGAAGATGCCCAAGATGGTTCCTTTCCCCAAATTGGTGATGTCAATGCAAATCAGCCTCGGAATCAAGTAGACATATCTTTATAAATTGCTCTCTATCAACGTCTATTTGGAATCACTTCCTCTTGGCGTTTGGATGGAATCTTTGCCTACCGAACGAAATTATAGAGTGACTTGGTACAAATTTTTGACACATCCTTTGATTCCTTTCAAGTTTCAAGAAAGAGAAGGCTATCCTTTGGATGAACTTTCAATAAGGCTTTCATTTGGATGGTCTGAAAAGGAATGGACTCCATAATTTTTTAAGAAATCAATCATTTGCCACAACAATTGATCGACTCCATTACCTTTTTGGCTTTATCTTGGTCTAAATGTGTAAATCCTTTTAATTGTTACAGTTTAAATTCCTTTATTTCCAACTGGAGAAGTTTTTTGTAACTTCATTTGGATAGGCTTTTTGTATATTTCATGCTATCAATGAAATTTGTTTCCTATCAAAAAAAATAATAAAAAAAATAAAAAATAATCTCCCTTAATTATCCTTGTAGAAGATGCAAAAGAAAATCTAAGATCAAAATAAATAATAGACGGAAGAAAATAAAAATGTGAAATCTTCAGTGTAGCTTGTCATGATTAGAAAGCAGAGAGACAAAGTAGAGTATAACTTTTCTGGCCAAGTAACAATCATACCAGATGTCAAAATGCCAATACATCTAAAAAGCACATCCTTAAAGGCTTTGAGAAGATCAGAAGAACTCAATATGTCAGATAATCCATCAAGAGTGATAGCTTTCTGAACAACAGTGAGGTCATCATCCCGAAGTAGTTTCAATATGGCATCTTGAACAGTCACTAAACTCTGGTCACAAGAAAACAGAAGAAAAAAACAAAAAAATAGAAGATTTTAACACAAGTATAAGGTCGTCAAGGAAAGATATCAAAAGCATTCCCAGATCAGCTACCAGTTACTTTTCAATAGCAGAAACTTTCCACTAATAGCAAACATTCATTTTGAAGTACAAAATGAAAAAAGGTTATAAGCATTAACAGAAAGCATATGGGATAGTTTGGGATTATTCATATCACAGTTCTTTCAAAATTAGTTTGACCTCAGTTAAGTCCTTCAAGCACCCTTTTTTATTTCTTTTTCTTTCCCCTGATGATAAAATAGGCTAAACAACTTTTTATTGTATTTTATTCTAAATTTCTAATAGCTGCTTCTCTATATAAAAATCTCAACAAACTGGGCACTGAAATTGACTTGTGAATATGATAGGCTGAGGCTCCGGCGTACTTTACCTATGCTAGAAAAAAGGGCACAAAATGAAGCAATGATTAGTTAGTTATGTGGGAGTGCATACGTGTGGGAGTGCATACGTGTGTGAGAATTACACCATTTTGTAATTATCAGGCAACATATAGGTCGGTTAGATGGGAGAGTATATTTTGTATGGATGACACCCTTACATGGCCATTGGAAAGAAGAGAACTGGCCCGTCAAGCACTTGGGAGAATATTTCTTGTATTTTCTTGTATCTTTTTTCATTTCTCTCAATGAAAGTGTCGTTTCGTATCAAAAAAAGAAAAAGAAAAAAAAAGGATTATCTAGGATCTATTAGATTATTCCTACTAGTATCCCATTATACTATTTATCTGATATCTCTTCCACCTATCAAACTATTTAGCATAAAGGTTAAATAAAGTTATCCTCATCTCTTCAACCATCTCAACTGAGATTCTCAATCCTATTCTTATGGCTAATGAGATAGTGGAAGAATACAGATTCAAAAGAAGAGTGGGTGGATCCTCAAGCTTGATATAGGAAAACATCTGATGAAGTGGATTGGATTGTTCTCTCGGAGGTACTTCTTCAAAAATGATTTGGTAGTGATTGGATTGCATGGATTCATGATAAGAGACAAAATTTTCAATCTTCGGTAATGGAAAACCAAGAGGTAGAATCAACGAATCATGCGGGTTGCAACAAGGTGATCCCCTTTCTCCCTTTTTTTTCTTACGAATAAGTGATGTCTTTTTTTTACGAAGAGACTTGGTGCATGTATCTCACTTACAGTTTGTGGATGATACTTTGCTATTTTACAAAGATAAAGATGAGATGCTATCTATATATAAAGTTTCTTATCCAAAAAAAAAAAAGATAAAGATGAGATGCTAGAAGTCCTGTTTGAGCCTATTAAGGCTTTTGAGTGACTTTCTAGAATGAAGGTTAACTAGGAGAAGTCTTCTTAGAGTGGTGTCAAGAGAAGATCAAAGAGTTGAGCGCGAAAAGCCTTAATTGCAAAGCTGAAAATTTGATGATTTAATACTTAGGTTTGCCCTTGGTGGGAATCCTAAGAATGCTGATTTTTGGTCCCCAATACAAGAAAACATCTCTAAGAAACTAGATAGGTGGAAGAGATATTAGATTTCAAGGGGCTGGAGACTGACTTTGTGTAACTCAGTTCTTACTAGTATCCCTTTATACTACTTTTCCAATTGCCTATGATGATTAGTAAGCAAATGGAAAAAAGAATGCGGCCTTTCTTATGGGGCGACCCTTCAAATGGCTCTTTGAAACAATTAATCCATTGGGATACTTCTTCTCTTTCTCGTGATGCAAGTGGTTTGGGAGTTGGCAGCCTATTGAAGAAAAACAGAGCACTTTTAGCAAAATGAGGATGGAATTTAGCAATGAGGGCTTAGCCCTGTGGCGTGCTGTAGTGGCAAGTATCTATGGTACTGTTAATTGTGGCTGGCATGTGGCAGTGAAGAAATCTAGTTGTATGTGCAGCCCTTGGTTCAACATCAATAAACAGTGGTTGTTTTAGATTACATTACCACATGAGGATTCGAAACCTGTGCTTGATTTCAAATTAACCCTTTTAGTTTTAAAAGTTTCAACATCAATAAACATTGGTTGTTGGTGGAGAAGTTCGCTGTTCGCTAATTTTAAAGTAGGTATGGCACAAGGGTTCTTTTCTTGCACCACTTGCAGATAGGGTCAACCTCGTTAAAAGTAAGATCCCCTTCTATTTTCAATTTTTCTTCATCTTCTTCAATTACTGTATATGAAGCTTGGGATAGATCTTCGTCTTCTTGGAGGCTGGAAACGAGGAGATCTTAAAAAGATGAAGAAGTTGATGCTTTGGTAGCCCTCCTGAATTGTGTCTCTCCATTTGTTCCTAATGAGGAAGAGGACGTCAGGTGGTGGACCTTGGATTCATCAAGGTTATTTGCAGTAAGTTCGTTGTGCAAAAACGATGATTTTACCTCCAATTTTCCTAAGGATTATAGAGTATTCCTTCGGAATTGAGGAAGTCCAAAAAAGGTTAGTTTTTGGACGTGGACTTTGCTCAATGGGAAGGTTAATATAGTAGAAGTGCTCCAAAGAAAGTTGCCAAACTTGGTCTTGCAGCCCTCTATGTGTGTCATATCACTTATCCACGGCTCATTGTGAAAATCGGAGGCATATTTTTTTCTTTTGCCCTTATGTTGCTGCCAGCTGGAATTATATGTTTAATCTTCTCAACATTTCAAGGTTTCAAATTCAGATGTCTCCAAGAATGTCTATCAGCTGCTGTTCGGTTTAAAGTTGTCTTCCAAATCAAACCTCCTTTGGATTAATGGCCTTATTAAGGCGCTCATTGGAATTATGATTTGAAAGGAACCAAATGGTTTTTGAAGAAAAAAGAAGGTCGGCTATTGAATGCTTCAAAGTGGCTTTTGGTCTCTTTCGTTTTTTCTTTCGCTTTTATTGTTTCTTTTATCACTTCTTTGTAGTTTGTATTTTGAACAATTTTTATTTTTTTTCATGCTTTCAATGAAAAGTCAGTATCTTGTTAAAAAAAATAATAATAACAGAAATCAAACTTTTTAACAATAATAACATAAAACAAACAATTCACTTCAAGTTGCTTTCTTTTTTTTTCAAGAGAGACACTCCCTCCATTGATATATTGAAAAGAATTGCTTTTATTCCCAAGTTATCAAGATTTTTCTAAATGCTCTTAGTTATAACCAAGTCCAAAGCTACTAAATCCCAATTTGTTAGTATCATCATTGCACCCTTTCGAAATCTACACGAAGGACAAATGCAAAAACATGAAAAGAGGACCAGATCTTGAACATGCATCATGCATGAACCATAACTATGACAGCAACAAAAATGTAGACGATTAAAAATATTAAAAATAAATAAAAAGAAAGATCATGCAAACAACAGCAATTGGAAAACAGCTAATGGTAAGCATCACTAAGTATACCAAATTGTCATTCTCAATAGGCAACACATTATTCACTCATGCTAATCAGGATAAATTATAGCTCAAATATTACAAAATATATTACCTCTAAATGATCCGTTTTAGCTTTCAAATTTCCAGCCATGCTCAAATTTGAAAGAGTAGCACAACGAACCTCAGCCTATGACACATTGAATTTGCCAAAACGCTCAAATATGTTACATGTGATACTTTTAAACTGCAAAAGATGATGATGCACATGCACGTAAAGAATAAAGAAAGCAAATTTCAAGACAGGGACAGAGTGTAATATTTTTATACCTTAGGATGATGCAAAGCAAACAAAAGTTTCGAATCTGAAATAGGCAATGACATGTCCAAACTCCCATCTAAAGTATTGCAAACGATCTCATATACGGAGCCCCCTATATTATGTTGCAATTTAGCGTCCTGTTAAACAGATCAATACAATAAGATATCTTAAAGAAGAAAAAAGATATATAAATTTCAATACAAAATGGAAAATAAGTGCTCCTAAAAATACCTCCAAGAACTTCCGAACAGCAGAATGGAGTTCTGAAGGATAAACTTTATTGACAACAACTAAGATCTTCTTGGCCCAAGTACCTAATAGATATCCAAATCTTAGTAGCAGTGCAAGTTGAAGAAATTTAAAAAAAATATATAAGATGAAATATTGCAGCCATGCAGATGGGTTTGCAAAGGGACAAGCAGCAAGATTCTGGTACTGAAACTTAACTAACCACTTCATAATTTTTTCTCTAATAGCTAACAAAAAATTTATACACATTTATTAAGACAACAAACTGGATTGGCCAAAGAAAAATTCCTAACTAGAAAAAGCAGGATACAAGGTGCTTGAAAGCCTGATTGATTATCACCCAAAAAAAAAGGATACAGATGCCTCATACAAATATCTTTATAACAATGATTCAAAGCAATATGTTTCTTTTTTTTTTCTTTTTTTTTCTTTTTTTTCTGATAAACTTCAATTGAATCATAGAAGTATTACAAAAAATGAAAAAAAAAATTAGAGACCAGACACCAATACCAATTGGGTTAATTCTTTCAGTTGGTGTCTTTTAAATGGAAAACCAAATTTCATTATGAAGAATGAAAACACGCACATTAGGGAAACAAACACCCAAACAAAACAACTGGCCTAAGCAAAAAAGAAGCCACCAACAAATTACAAGAGAGAACTCCAACTATTGAGGATTTAAAAAATAGAATAAAAATATAAAATTAAAATGGGAAGAAAGAAAAAATAAGAAGAAAAAGACTCAACAGCAAAGTCAAAGGTATGGACAGAGGACAAAGTCCACCAAGACCCCCCTACACCCCCTCCTCTCTTACTCCATCCTAACCAAAAATGAGGAAGCTCAATAGAACTTCCTCTCTTTCCAAAAAAGGACAGTAGAATAACTTCTTCAAACATGACACGTCATATACCCAAATATTTTTTTGACTATTCCAGCAGGAAACGAGTTGAATGAGCACTGAATAACCAGTTTCTACATGTACCTGGATTAGAAGAGCTTGGATTGTCAGTCTTCTCTGACAATTTAGAGCAGCTCGCTATAACCTTGGTGACCATATTATGCATTAAATGCTTCATCGGAACAGTCTCAATTATTGAGATCAAACCACGTTGGCACAAGTCGTTAGAGAAACTACAGAAGACAAATAATCAGATGTTGAATCATCGATAACAACCAGATTATTACAAATGAAAAATCTCAGTCCCACCTATATTCGACTAAAGAATCCATAAGGATGGAGAGGAATTGATCGATGTTGAACTCTCTGGATAGTTCCAAAAGAATACTAGCTAAATCCCTTCGCATTAAAATACAAGAGAAAGAAGACAATGTAAAATATAAGAAGAAATAGATGAAGACAAGTCACATTCAAATATCAAATACAAACCAAAACTAGAAGAAACAGGAATGGAAATTCAGTAAGCAGTACACATTACCTAATCTCCATCAAAACATCCAATACCTTTCTTGGAAATATGTCAACTGATTGTAACTGAAAATTATATGTAAAGAGTAAATTCAGAACAAACCAAAATCAAACATACACACGCTACAACTTAGACATGATTGGTCAATTTTACTCGATTCAATCAGTTCGGATAGTTTTTTATTGGTTTAGTCGTCTTGCTCAGCCCTGCATCAGTTGTCATTTTTTCTAAAATAATAGGATAGTTTGGCATCAATGCTCCCCGTTGTATTGATTCTACACAAATGGCAATGATCACTAAGAAAAGCAATGGTACTACATGAAACTGCTAAACTGGTCTACACCATAAATGATCAATAGAAAAATTTTTGGACTAATAACAAGAGTTGTCATTAAGATAAAATGAAAAAATTACAACCAAAGTAGGTCACGGGACCTAGCACTAGGGAGGTCACAAAAAAAAGGCTTCAATTGTTGAAAAACTAAAAGTAGTAAAGTCACAAAAAAGATTTAGAGAGAATAACCCAACATTTTTTTATAGGAGACACATAAATTCATTAACCCAACAAATTATTAAAAAATCATTTGAACGTTGAAATTCAATGCACATGACCTTTTCTCTAATGATGATGCATGCATGCTGTTTGATGTGCCGACAATATACAAATGGAAAAAAAAGAAACACTGAGAAGAGAAGTGGTGCTACATATTCTCACATAAATTTAATTTTCCAACTTTAATAGGTGGGCCTTACCCTTTTTGATTAAAAAAATACCTTAGAGTTGTCTCTTCCGTAAAAAATATAGCGTAGAGTTAACAAAGTAAATCACAAAATCATTTCATTTAGCTTTTCACCAAATTATTACCTGAACAAGGGTGATTAAAGCCATAAGTGAGAGTCGAACTGATTGCATATCACTCGACTCCCTCGCACCCTCTTTAGCAATCTCAGAGACTGATCGAATCAAACTCTTAACAAGCTTAGGTATCAATGTGACTTTGTTCGCTAGCAGACCAACAATCATCAAAGCACCAGCCTGCATTTGAAGGAACAGGGGCAAAATATATAGTTATACAAATATAACCAAATTAAAAGATGAAACATGGAAGAACGTGACGGAAGAGCAAACAATCAACCAGGAACGCTGATAAAAATAATACAACATGCCAATAAAAACTTGAAATGATAACTTATGGGTTTTAACGTAATCTGACCAGATTGAAAAACAAATAATTAAGCTTCTGAATGAGTTCGAATTTTAAGGGAAAAAAATATAGTGTCTATGATACAATTATAGATTAAAACATTTAGCAATCTTGCAGGTTAGTCACAAAAATTTATTAAAATAAGAACCAAAAACACCAAAGCAAAAAGCCTGAGATCCGAATCATCATGATGTCTTGTACTCACACTTCAGATTTTACCATGTATAAAACTCTCTGCTCTGCTCTGCTCTCCATTGGTAAGCCTACTTGTGAAACTATTTATGCCATACCAATATTTCTTCAATTGAATAATTGCATGATAAAAATTAGACGTGGGAAATTTTCGGAAACTACATCTAGTTAAAGTAACAAAGCAAACCACAAAGCATGTACTTTGAGAATACTCGAATTTCTTTTTGTGTTCTTCATAACCAAGGCTGATACAATTTGTCGCTCACTCCACCTTCAAATTGCTGAGTACTTTCTGTGAAGATATTTGCAAACCCAGTGACAAGACCAAAATAAGTTCTCCTTGAGAGTAAAGCAAGCATTGGGAGGAGACATAGCTCATAGCAGAACTTTTGGCTTCTACTGTGTTATTCTTACCAAAGAACTTTGTAATTTAAAATCTTTTCTTTTATAACTCAGAGTTGGAGCTTTGCTCTCCTATACAAGGCACTCGCACCTACCTCAAGACCTTGTAATTAAAAATCTTTTGTAATTAATTAGTTGAGGGACAGTTTTTGTGAGCAATCAGAGTTTTGGGGAGTATTTTTCAATACCTTAAGGTGGTTCTTAGAGGCTTGTCCTCCATTTTCTACATTTTACGAGTGAAATAGGAAGGGAAAAGAACTTGGAAAAAAACAGAATGCCTTCCTAATTTACCTTCTGATCGGAGATCCCCTTGGTGCCAGGCTGGAGTCCAGTTTTAACAAACAAAAGAACTATGTTTAATACATTGGGCTCGATGCTTGAAAGAGAGCCCAAAACTTCTATAACAACTGCAGTGCAGAAATTGACAACTGGCCTCGCTGGATGGAAGTTCTTTGATGGAGCAGCCTAGAATAAGAATGGCATGGTCATTTATGACGGACATCGTGACAATAAGCAATTGGAAAAGCTTTCCATTTAAAATAGACTCTTAGAATCACTAGATGGATATGAAGCTAATAACTCACACAATTGCATAAAACTTCCAAAACACCACGATCACGGACACATTGTTCCACTATAACCTTCCTTGGTGGTGGAGCGCCAGACAGCTTCACACCTTCTAGAAATTTCCATTTACTATTCCTAAAACACAAATAGGGAAAAGATAAAAAACTTCATGAAGTCCACAGTAGCTGAGCTGAAACAAGCTAGAAGAGATGTCAAACCCCAAAACAAGCAGCTGCACTATTCGAACAAAAGCATGAGTGTCATGGAATGGTAAGACGCAAAGAACCAAGTCCTCAACATTATGCACGTGAATCCTGAAAATGATTCCCACATAAAGAGTAAGAAGATATCGATTAAGAGGAAAAAGTAAGTGAACAACACCTTCAAAATGGTCTACGCCTGTCACTTGGGAGATTATTTGAAGTACTTACTTGTATCTGCGAATCAAGTACTCTAAAGTCCTAAGAGACGAAGGTTGTTGAAAGTGTCCTGAAATCAGCCTCAGGTACGAACTAATTGTAGCGTTAATACGTTTGTTTTCCTCTTCACCCATCAACTCCCTATCCTGCTCTCTACTTTTGTAGCTAAACAAATTATTCTTATAATTTCTGAAACGCTCATCCAAGCTAATAAGAACCTCCAGACCTGAAGACCAATCAAAAGAACAGTTAAACTAAGAATATTGACATCCAACGCTGCCCAATCAACAAAAAAAAAATGAATCAATGATATTGACACCCTCCACTGCAAAATAAAAACTTAGTAGTCGTGAAAGCAAATCACGCGAGGAGCTCGTCCCCTGGAGACAGGTTAGCTAAATCATAAGAGAATAGTTACAGTCGCCTTTTGCGCAATTCGCATCACAGTTTCAACTAATTTGAGCAGATAAATTGGCATTCTTCCGAGTACAAAATGGGAGAAACTTATTGGGGAAGCCGGTTCAAGACTGACCATGCAAGGCAATGCTGAATATAGTGTCGATACTGATGTCAGCTGCTTCTTTGGGGTCATAAAGAATCGAAGGTCGAGTGAACGGCCTATTGAGCGGCTCCGAGTCCGCCTGTACAAAGGATTTGATAGCTTGCAACTGCGAGTCGAGGAATGAAGCCATTGGAGAATTGAGTATGAGAAATCTCCCGGGATAGCTCCAAACTCTGGGACTGAAGTAAATCGGCGATTGTAGAGAGCGCCTTCTGTGCCGGAGCGCAACCGGTGCAGCGGCGGTGGCGTTTTGGCGGTTTTGAAGCTTAAACCCAGACAAGGCAAGGCAAGGCAAGGCAGGAAACCAGTTGGTGTAATTTGCACTAGGGTTTATGGGAATCACCCGCCAACCAGCAAATTTACATTTGTGACCTAGAAAGTTTGTAATAAATAATCAGAATAAAATTACATCAACAAAAAAAATATATTAACATAAGTTCATACTAAAACAGTAATTGGAATATGGGTTTGATCGGTGATCTAAAGATAGAAATTTAAAAATAAATTATTCGATTAAAACATAATTATTATTATTTTCAATATTTTTCAGACATGTGTTTGATAGCAAATTTATAAATTAAATCTTAGTTTAAAAAATTGTTCGAGAGATTTAGTAGTATATTTGTAAAGTAGTAGTAGTTATTGACTAATTATTTAGTTAAATCTAAAATAATATTCATTTATTTACTAACATTATAAATTTTGTATTATTATTATTTTATAATTATAATATATTGTATTTTAAATTTATTAATTTCAACAATGAAGAAATGAGTTTATAAAATTATATAATATATTTATTAGAGTTTTTATCTTTTTAGTGTAATTATAACATTGAAAATATAAAAATGTAATTTGTAAGATCACGAAATTTGAAAACAACTCCCTGAAATATGTCAAACCTGTATTCATTATTTCAGTGAATTTTTAAACAAAAAACAAAATTTGGATGGCATACAAAATGGCCCTAAAATATTATTAAATTTTATTTTGTAATATTTAATTATATTTAAACAATTTTATTGGTATTCATTAATGTATCAAATTAAAATTAAATAAAAATTTGTAATATTTTATAATAAAATGATACCAACTATAAATTTTTTTTTGGTAAAATATATTTTTGATCCCTGAATTTGAAGATATATTTTTATTTCATCCCTAGATTTCAAAAACTTCAAATTTGGTCCCCAAACTTTATAAAATAATTCTAAAATATCCCTAAAACCAAACTTCCACTCACATAGTGTGACTTGAATATTTATTGATTTTATATTATTTTAAACTTAGATGGTATTTTTCTATTTCCCCCTTCTTTTTATCTCTCTTCCCTCTACTTATGAAAATGAAAAAACTAAATCACTACCCAAAAAAAAACGTTAAGAGGAGTGAGCACAGTATCTAAAAAATGTTCCATAAGAACGTGTTGTATTGAAACAAGTGTAGACCATCTCAGTTTCAACCTAATAATGAATAGAAAACTATTGTACACTATATCAGAATATTGGCACAAAATATATGTTCTGTCAAGATGGTGTCGTTTCACGAGCACTGAATTTTTCACTACTAAATATCAAAATTGGCTTGGTCTACCCATGTTATAGAATTTCCTTTGAATAATAGGGAGCTGCCTATAGTTCTGGATTCCCCAATTTGGGATTCTAATGTAGCAATATGCAAAACTACAGATTCATGTAATGCAAATGGCAACCCATAAAAATGTTTCTACCTTTTTTTTTCTTTATGAAGCTACATCAAAGCACATTCCTGTGCCCATAACTTATGTTACAACATATTTATCTGTCTATGAGATTCAAAATCGACATACTCTCCGCTTGGCTGCTCACCGAACCCACACATGTCAAAAACTTTATCACCTAGAGGGATATTGTTGGCCTCTCGTCCTTTAAACCCATCCATTTGTGAACCCCAAGGGGGCAGTGTCATAGGGTTTGAATTTGAAACGTCTAAACCAGCTGGGTTCTGTGGAGAGTTCCCAGTTGGCCTCCGATTTGTCAAGGTGGCTGCGGTTAAAGACGCTGAATTTTGCTGCTGCATTTGTTGCTGGTTTTTCATTGGTGATTTTGGCCTAAGCAACTCTATTTCTGGAGTCGTCATAACAAGATGGGATGCTTCTGGGGGTGGATTTCGGCCTCCTCCACCTTGCCAAACTTTCCCATCTTTGTCAGCAAAGCTCTTGATATATGCCTGAATGTGAACCATGTGACCATTCAAGTTCAGAGATAAATAATGATAACCGATGACAACAGCGAAGACAACGAGCAAGTTGCATCAAGAAAAATATATGATGCAAAATGCAAGATTTCCTATGTGCACGAACACAATTTCAGAGGTCATGCAAGCACAAAAGTTAGTGATTGTGTGTAGAAAATTTTACTTCCAGATGTTATACCTCAGCAAGAAAATTTGATGAAGACAGTTCTTTACCGACGGTCAGCCACCCAGCTCGAATATTATGGTCCTCACCAAAGAGCTCTAGCCTCCTGCGGCCAAGGGCAAAATGCTCAATTATCCTGTACATATCTTCGGGCTTCTGGGTTGAACCTGAAATATTTAAAGCATAAAACTCAGTCATTGTCCATTCGTCCATTTATTAAAAGCGTCAAAGCAAGACAGAAGTAGAAAAAACCAGAGGTGGAACAAGTTTGTATGCCTGAGAATTTTTTCAGACTTGGAAGCAAGATTACGTTTCTACAAGATCCTTTGGAGTTTATAATATTTGTTAACAACAACGCTTCCACATCAAGAAACAATTGCTATGCATTGGACTAATTGTAAGTATCTATAAACGCCTACCAAACACAAGGAAACAGCATACTTAATACCAAGGAATAAAACTGCTGATGAATTGGTTCTAAAAACAAAACCGTTTGATCATATCAATCAGCAGAGTCCACCATGTCATGTAAGCACTAAATATGACAAGTGACAACTGAGCGACAGTTTATATCCTAGCAGTCAACTTCACGTGTAAAAAAATGTATAAAGAAATACCAAAAGATATGTAAACTCAGGCTACCAAGTCCAATAAACTAAGGATAACACTGACCATAAGGAGGTTCCTCAGCAATAATTACATCGGTATCGATGTTTGCATGGATTATATGACCATCAGTACTGCGACGTACAGTTCCTTTAATGCCCATGAGACAATGCTCCTTCATTGAGTCAGCAGAAAAATAAAAACGCAAGTGAAAAGGATGAATCTCATAAAATACAGAAGAAGACTCAGAAAGGACAATTTTGAAAAACTAGACTGACCTTGGAGTGCTGGAAAAGAGTATGGGAGTCATGCCGTAAACCTGGAGTTGCATTATTTTTGTTTGTCTTCACCCAACAAATATCCTCACAGCGGCGAAATCCCCACTATGCACCCCAAAATGAATCATTGAGTGGCAATTTTCCAAACAGGCATAAATAATTTAGTAGACATATGTACACCACCCTAAGCAATAGGTAAAGTCCTATACATATTCTCAAATAAACAGGCATAATTATTTACCTTTTTTAGACATTGACGGCCCTGCTCAAGGCCAACACCGTCACCAACCCATAGGAATATGAAAGAAGGGGTATCAGCTATTGCCTGCAAAATTTGTGGAGGAAGATTTAATAATCAACTGGGTGAGGCTGTATATTTGAATGGGACAATGATGGGAAAATCATAACAAAAGAAATTACCTCAATTTTAAGATTCATAATTTCTTCAAAAGTCCAGTATTCCATGTGATCAGCAACACCAGGAGCCCGATGAACATACTCTTCCCATGGAGGATCAATGAGAATAACATCAAACTTGGTTCCAAAGAACTCTGGAGAAAGTTCAAACTCTCTCAGATCACACTTGTAATACATAGGAGGAGAGGCAGAATTGGCCACAATTTCATCCTTCTTCTGTATAAGCTCCCTAAGCTTGGGATAGTCCTCTACTACATTTGTAAGCTCAAGCTCCCGTATGAAATTCTGCGGTCGCATTCCCGTGTCAACAAAATTTTGAGAATAATCATTCTGTTCTCCTCTTGAAGGTGCCTTACCAGGAGGACCAGTACCTTTCTGGACAGCCCAGCCACTGGGAGTTTTATCAGGTTGAGCACCCCGCCCCACTGGTCCAGAAGCACTAAAACCAGGACCAGCTACACCTGAAGAAACACCCCTTCCAGAGCCTGATTGATTAAAATACATGGCAGCATTTGGTGGTGTCCCTATATTAGGAGGAAATCTAGGTCCTGATGGTCCTGGTGGAACAACTAACATATTCATATCAATACCACGAGCACCAGGCCAAACTGGAGGGGAGAATGGTGGGATAAAGACACCAGGAGATACTGGTGGCCCTGGACCAGGTGACATGCCAGGATTAAGTGGCTGCATTGGTCCTGGCGGAGGAATTCCGAGAGGTCCAAAAGGAGATCCCATCATTGGCATTGGCATTCCACCTTGTTGACTCTCTCTTCCAGCAGGTCTTCCCCTTCCTCCTCTACCTACTCTAGTCCCTTTCATACCTTGCTGAGCAGCTCGGTTAAAGGATCCTGGCTCTTGGTTGCCATATAGTTGCTGCGATCCACTGCTAGAACTTTGACCGCCAACAATGCGACCTGAATTTACACCTTTCTGGCCTCTTCCCTTCCCTCCATGAAAATCAAAATCATCCCTCCATGAATTCTGATCTTGTGTTGCCCCACCTTCATCAGCATATCTCTCCTTCAAATCTCCATCAGATTGTCCTGGACCATAGCTATCAGTCCTCCTTGCCCTTCCTTCCTGCTGATGCATCCACTCACCATCACTTGGTGCAAACTTCCCTTCAGATTGCTGGCCAGCTTCAGTCCTCCTAGCAAAGTTTCCAGACTCTGATCTACCATAATCCAGAGGTTTGGTTTGGATCTCTATCACATCATAATTCTCATTCAAAATGCCGAAGTTTGATGATGTCTTCACTGCTTCACCCCTGCTTCCATCTTTCCGATTGCCAGACCTACCATGAGGCCTTTCACTATCAGTCCGCTCACGGCCGTGTCTAGGCAACTCCCACTCCCTACCATGATCATACATAAAATCCCCAGATTTAGTATCATTGTCTTGGGTTCCATGTTGCCGTCTTTTCCAGCTGTCAACATTACCCTCCCGATCTCTGTTCCGATCACTCCAACTATCGTCCCTGCCTTTAGATCTATCATCCCTATAACCATCCTTTTCCAATTCCTTCCGCTTGTGGTTAAAATTTCTTTCATATTCCACATCTGTGTACTCTGATTCTTGATGCCTCTCCATCCTCTCTGGACTTCTGGACTTGTCAGCATTTCCAACTTCTCTTGCCC